GGGCGCGAGAATCGAAAGAGCAGGTGCAAGAAGAGAGGCGGTTGAAAAAGCGGATTTCGAAGCCATTAACTACGGAGGATACACCAACCCCAGCACCGCATTTTATTCCATGGATTCCACCAATGGATGATATATCTACGATTTGAGTATTTGTTAGGATTCTTTTTAGATTTTTATAGGCGTTGTACGTTGAGAAAAATACAAAAATATTTCATGAGTTCTTTAAAATTTACATTGAGCAAGAGTTTACATTACGGTGTGGTAACCCAACACCCGAAGGGGGTAGGGTTACTTGGCAAGGACCGGGTATGCAATTCTCATGCCAAGAACTTTGACTACGAAATCGAGATTAGCGCCGTCGATGCAGTTTGCCGTCTACACCACCAATTCCTGTATACAACCGCCAGTTTGTTGTATCACAGGAAGTCATTTCAATTCAGGCTGCATGCAGTGCTATCACCGCTCATTCAGCTCTTTCTTTTTGGTTCCACCACTCCGTTTCTGTTACAAATTGATCAATTGAGGAATTCCAGAAGGCAGAGAAGGAGAAGCCTCTAAACATGGGCTTTTTTCTATGTATGAAGAGATTAGACAGTTTTACAATTTATTTTTGATACTTCTTTGTATTCATTTTGCAGAAGATAATCCTTCTATTACATGCTGTATAGTCTCTCAGTGTACGATTACAACATTGCGTGCGCAGCTACCAAAGCACTCACAGGCAAAAGGTGCGATCATTGAACGCTGTTCAAAACCCAATAGAAGATAGCCACGCATCTCAGGAAAAATACCATTTAGTCCACGACAAAAAGCGCCCAGATTGTGGATACTGAAGGGGCAAGTCAACGCTCACAAGAGGGTGTTTTCTGGCATCTTGTAGACATGGCGAATGCAAAGAGAATTACTCTGTTTATGTGCCTTACGTGGATGCGACATGCTTATAGCCGGGCGGCATTGGTGCGTGGGGTTGACCGTTGGCGCTCCCGCGTCGGCTTTGAGCTCACTAACTCGGTAAAATAGAGGCGCTGGACTTGGCATTTCATACGATGTCTTGATAAAACTCAATGCAGCCTATGGTGAGAAGATTCTCGAGTCATAAAGCCTTGACGAAGGAGGGGCAGGAGGTTTACTGGCTTATTTCTAATTTAGAAAGTAGAATACGCATTGCTATTATTACTTTTCTTTTCAAAAGGATCTAAATAAAGAATAGTGTGGAGACGTAGAGACTTAGGTCCCGACGCCTTTGTCGCAAAACGATAGTCCTAAAAAGGGTCTCATATTTGGGGAAGATTTTACCACTAATTGACCTTGTAACAAAGCCTTCCCGTCCGCATAAAGCACTTGATACCTTGCCAGTTTTACTAAAGCCAAATTTGGAATATGCAAGAGGCCTTAAGCACGAATATGGCTAAACCCATCTCATGCCTTAGAGACATGAATCAGGTGCCTTTCGATCGCTCATCGATAGGTTTTTCCATTGGAAGATACGCTTCTACCAACCCTCTTTCGAAAAACCTTTTTCCCATCAACAATGTCTACGTCTAATATCAGCACAATCAGGAATTGAGTCTAGTTACCTTAAGAGTTTTGTCTGATACGTATTGGGTTGGAGTCCTATATATGAAAGCCCAGCCTATCAGGTGCAATATGGGCATCAAATGTACATGCCGTCACATGCCGCCACATGCCGCTTCAGATATGGAAGCAGATAATATTTACGATACTGTAAGTTCACCACGCTCACATCAATGCATGAAAACCAGTGCCGAGTATCAAGCAAGACCTTCCTGTTACTATGGGAGCATTGAGTGCTAAAAAATATTGAGATGCGGGAATTTCGCGGAGCGATACTAGCCGGCGCTGTAAAGCTCTCGGGTTGACTTTCGTAGCTCCTGAATCCGTCGCAAAATTGACAAAAAAGCCCAGAATTTTGGTACCTTTTGCAAAGTCGTTCGTATTGTTGATGATTATTATCTAGAGCTGGCCCTTAGAAACTGGCATTTCTGAGTCCTTGTAATGCACTGGTATCGTCTACCAGTTGATGTGATTTAGTTGTAGATTCCAAATCTCCCCCTTAATACAGTATGTATATTGACTATGACAACAGAACGTCCCAACAGCTCAAGCTTACGGTAAAGCTCATTTGCTCAATATAGCCGAGGGGCGATGTCGTCAAGATGTGCGCACAATCTTTTGTCATGATCGCTTTCAGATTTTCGCAATTTTATTGGGTAATTATAGCCAGGATACCACAAGCATAGCATTAATTTGTCACCGAAAAATTGTGCTCCTAATGTCTTCACTGCGTTGCAAACGAGTTTCTCTCCTTTGCACCTGTAATCCTGCTGATACCTGTGACGGTCGAGTCATACGTTGATTTCCACTAGCCGACCTCATGATGCAAAATTGGGTCATTCGTTAAGGAAATTTGAGCGTCGATTCGAGGTGGAACCGAGAGCTCACTGGATTGGATGGAGGGTTTGAGTCCTTAGTGGATGATGAATAGTTCTTGTATCCCTTTTACTGATTGTAGAAGGTCGCATTAAAAAAGGCTTGGTAGGCGATACCATTGAAGCTTGCTTTTCTCCTCTAAGCTCACAGATACGAGCATTAGGACAAGTCAGTTTCTGGTGGGACATGATATGGGGGTGTTGAATTTTCAATATGACTCGAGAAACTTCGAACTGGGCCTCATCCTATGTCCATCTTTTGTACTGTAAGACTTTTACAGAAGAACAAAATTGGCCGGTTTCTAAATTCACCGTGCGACATTGGATGTACAGCGACGTAAAACCCATGCACCTAATTTTGTCCATGTGGCTGTCAAAGCATAAGTGCCTAAAGAAAAGCAATAGATGGAGTTTGTGCCATTTTCAGAATCCCCATGCTCAATCTGTAATCTAATTCTCATACAATGACTCCATTTTAGTAATATATCTGGCATATCTATTTGAGTATCGGCTTGGAGTTCTTCCGGCTCCATCCCTTCTACACCATACCACGATGTCGGAACAAATTGAAAATGTCGATGATCAAATATTAAGGGCCACCACTGCCTTCCCTCTGAATAACAACACCACTATAGCCCAAGTGGCGCGGGAATTCGGGGTTCCATATCGACGGCTACGCGCCTGTATCCACAGGTGCGGGACTAAAACCCCTGCTGCCAGCCTAAAAAAGACCCTGAACCCAATTCAGGAGCGAGCATTGGAAACCTGGATCGATACGCTATACAATGGCAATATGGGTATTTACCTTTCTCTTATTAAAAAGGCTCCAAATTCAATTATACGCCGCGCTGGTAGTGATCAGGTGATGGGCCCTAGCTGGGTCAACCGTTATATGTAAAGACTACTCCTTGAGATACCCTATACCAACCCAAAAATGGCTGAAAAGGCGAGGGTTGATAGTGAGCAATATGGCCCAATGTTACTTTGGTTTAGCAGCCTTCGTACGCTCTTTAAAAAGCACCAATTCTTTCCCATGAGATCTTCAATTGGGATGAAACTGGCTATCAAATTGGCCAGGGAAAGGGGCAAAAGGTGCTTACACCTAATGCTAGTTACACCAATTTAACCGGTGGTCAAAAAGAATCTATTACCTGCATTGAATGTATATCTGCCGATGGCTTGGTTATGCTACCTTGGTTTCTACCTAAGGGCTCTTTATATATAGAGGAGTGGTATGAAATTACCACTCTCCCCGATTTTCGGATTAAACCCACGCCTAATGGCTGGATTGATGACGATACGGCTTTTCAATGGTTTTGCTCTTTTCATGAGGCTACAGAACCTCTGGTTAAAATGGCAGGCCAAGGCTACTTTTAATGGATAATCATGGATTCCATACAACGATCAATTTCATTAAATTTTGCAACCAGCATTTCATTATTCCAGTCTTTTTTTACCCCATAAAATCCAACTCTGCCAACCGCTAGATGTACAGCCGTTCCAATCCTTAAAGCATTATTTTGTACAGCGAATAATGAGGCTATAATGTGGGGTGGAAGTGCAAGCAAAAAGCGGGATCTTTTCCAGATGATTCAGGGTGTCAGGGAGAAAGCTTTTACTCAAATAATCATCCGATCTTCATTTAAATCTAGGGGTATTTACACCCTAGATCCAGAGGTTATTCTTGGTCCTCTTCGTCAAAAAGCTCTCGAATCTGAAGGGTCCCCCCTTAGGATTTTTAACCACCCCCGGGCGGGGGAATTTGTAAGCTCAATCACCAATTCGCCGCCAGATACAATTGAGTGAGTTAATAGGCTCAATACTAAGCGTATTCATGACATTGAGCAAATTGAAACCCAATCTCGGAGGGTGAAACGACATATCCAGCGAAGTATGGTTGAAAATACGCTTTTATCCCAACAAAATGCCATACTGAGGGCCGAATTAAAGAAGTCCCATACATCCAGTTCCACTGCAAATGCTCCAAGAAATGGCAAGCCGATTCTTGGAACTAGAGCCTCAGTGCTCTCACCTATATGCGCAAATAGGAAGATGATACATAAGAGAGAGGCCGATTCTAATAAGTTGAAGCTTACAGGCAAAGCATGCCAAGGAATTGGAATCTCAGCGGCGAGCTTAGGAAGCAAGGGATTTATTAGAAGCTGAGCATGAATCTCCAATAGCGGCAAGAGATAGTATAGGTGCAATTGGTATATAGCTACTACCTGTGGTTACCTGTAAATAGTGACTGAAATGCAATGAATCCCATTGAAATTATCGTTGTGTGGGAATTATTGTTGAATGGGGTGCACCAACACCAGGTGTGGTGGTCTTAGTTGGCAATGACGTTCGTTGAGAGAAATTCGGAGGAACGAAATGAGTTGAAGCGGGATGCGATACAAGCTTTGAGAAGTTGGTCCCATTATAGACAAGTGCAAGGATGTGGTGATGCAAGGACAAAGGGTTTTCTTTCCAAAGGCCAATCTTGGAAACATGCGATGAAGATCTCGGATGTGCCCATTCCCCGGGGTGAGTTTAAAGGCACGTGTGTTACAGCAGCAAGCACGGGCGAGCGAAAACAGTAGAGACCTCCAACCTGCCCTGTGGCCATAGGGATTGTTCGCATGCCCCAGAGTCGCGCTTCGAGTTGAGTTTCCAAGACCCTGAAGCGTCATCAACGGAGCGGATGAGCGCCGAGGAAGAATCACGGACGTACCAGCTACGACGGCCGGATCCCCATATATTCCAGGACACAGAAGTTCGACGGTACTTGCTAGCCTGATACAGAGAGAGAGTGATTTCATTAGTTAGCTTGATCACCTGGAGCGGCCAGCTTTGGTTCGATAGGAGGAGGCAAGAGCCCTCGTTGAACACTGACCTCACGGTCACCTGCGGAACCGTGGCTAGGTCAAGATAGTAAAGAATACTGGCAGGCACTCCTTTTTCGAGACCAGACCTCGCTGGGTCGACCGTGGGGATGAAAAATGAGTTGATGTCCCGGGCCAACAGAACAGCCGAGCTTAGCCCCAGTTCTTCCAGGTGCTTGCCAGAGGTACCAGGAAGGGCATATCGTGCGGAATAATTCTCGCTCCACCTAGGTTTAAAGATCGCATAGTCCCCAGAATTCTGGGTAGGAAAGTAGACAGTTATCTTCGGAGAGACGGAAAGTGATTGTGTCTGTCATAAGGTTGAGCTACACCAACGAATCCCGCACGGCAGCATGGGTTGTGAAATGTTTGACCAGGGCCAATGAGTGTAGCCGACTGCAACGAGACAGGTTCAGATGTGTGATACCAGTCTCAGCTAAGGGGTCTCCCACCCTTCCAAGCACCGATATCATTAAGACGCGTGCACGAAGCCGACCTGCCAACGTCACCCTTCAAGGTCTACTCCAATTTTGCGATGCTGCGACTACTTCGACGCGGCTAGTGATATCAGACTTCGACCGGTAATTTTCACCACAGCCAGGTTCAGTGAATCAATCATGTTCGACACAGTTGCGGCCGCAGAAGCCGTCAACGAAAGACTGGGCGAATGTTAATGCTTTTCTTCAGGAAAAGAATAGACAAATCCTCATAAATTCCCAAAAATACAAGCTGCATTCGAAGAGACCACACGTTGTACACAGTTAAATTCACGTGAATAATTTTCGAATGAAAAAGCATGACATGAAAGAACATGATAGGTGTTTGATCTTACCTTTCTCGTGCATACCAATGGCTAGGGCCTATCTGAGAAAGATACATTGGAATCATACCTCCATTTTCTCGGTATTTACCCCTTGAGTAGTGAGTAAGGTGGCATGATGGCAGCTTGATCTGTAAGATAATATGTACTCGCATGAGAGGTGGAAATAAAATGAATTGCTGAATGAGCCATTGCAAGTGGCAACGGAAAACGACTGGCTTAGCCACTTGACGTAAAGCAAACCAAGACCTCTAGCTACCGTACGTAGCTTCGCGTTATAGTTATGATTCGTTGCTTTTGGTATAAGTGATAATATATCTGCGGAAGGAGATGCTCCTGACACTAGGAAATGCCGCGAATTTATTTCACGTTGAAATGGCTGATCTGGGCGCTTCTTTTTATTCCAAAAGTCGCAGCGCAGTCATGGAAGACCCAAATTAACACGACAATATGTAATTGGAACCAGTTTCGTGGTAAGCCACCTAGCACCGAGAGCGTGAACATCAGAGCGAGATGCTGATGAGGCAAATAAAGGCTTCCAACTCCAGCAAACCATCTTGTTAAGCGATGGTTCCATGTGGTGGCAGAGGTGCGTTACCCTTGACTCTTAAGGCCATGTCTGATTTTTCCCCAGTGGATATTCCGATGGATCCTACGGCGTTCCAGAAAATGACGGTAAGTTGCCAAAAGCTGTTTCGGCAATTTGTGGCAAGGAGAAGCTAACAGCTCAAAATAGGAACTTCTAGGAGTGCTTTCTATAGCCTGTCACTCACCGAGCGCTTCAATGTTGAAACGACCAATATTTCCAGTTTATTCTCGCAGGAACCCAACCCAACCACAACCCAAGCTAATTTCGAAAACGGTGCGATGTTTGGAAATGATAGAGAGATCATCCTCTACGGGTAAACCTCTCCGCTCAGTTCCCTTCTGCGAACTTTGCTTATAAAATATACTGGTAGGGGGCTGACCAGGCCAACGGACAGTGATTATGTCCCTGGCCCGAGGGAGCTTCTTGGATATAGATCTTCGGATGCCGGCTCGGGTTATGATGTGGGGTCATTCTTTAATTCCTCATTGCCAAGTAACATGACTCGCTATATCACACATGGGGGTCAAGTATCTGTACCCAGCGAGAACCTGGCTTTTTACTATGGTGGTATGCGAGGGCCAGACTGGGGTCCCATTACGTCAGATGATGCATCGTCGAATACAACGGCGGATACATTGATCATGGTAAATTTGACAGCCACTGGAGATGAGAAGCTGTGGCGGAACTCAACTATACCAAGTTTTATTGCTAGCCGCGCGAATCCGCAACTGATCTGGATACCTGTTTCCCAAAAGGGCGTTTTAGCAGTCATTGGTGGCGTGAAGAACCCGGAAGACATATACCCTGCTGGGCTTTTATCCTCGCAACAGAAGCAAGATGTGGGATAAATTCGGCACCCCTGGAACAAAGAGGGCTCTGACTAACTCAATGCAGTCCCTACTAGATCCAGACTTCATGACTACAATTCCATTGTACGATATTGCACAAGATAGATGGTATGTCAGCCGCCAACTTGTCGGGCGCGAGCGATGGTCACTAATATTTTAACAACAAGGTATCTCCAAAATGCCTCGGGCGATGTTCCACCGAGCGGCCGTGCCTCCTTCTGTTCCACTCTCGCTTCTGCGGCGGACGGCAGCTCGCACAATATCTACATTTACGGGGGCTACAATGGACAAAATTCCAGCGCTACTCCTTTTGACGACGTCTACATTCTCTCTTTGCCATCGTTTACATGGGTCAAGGCCTACACCGGGAACTCTCGCCATGGACGCAGTGGTCATCAATGCTTCCGTGTGCTACCAAGCCACATGTTAGTGGTGGGAGGGCTACACAAGGATCCGTCTATCTGTCTGGATGGTGGAATTCTGCAAACCTTCAGTCTCAACGCCCTGGAATTCCAAAAGACATATTCTCCGGATGCTGTGGAGGAATACCTAGTGCCAAGTACAGTGACGAAGCAGATTGGAGGAATGTAGGTGATCGAACTTGCCTGATGAAGCCGCAGATCCCTGTCACTGACATAAAATAGAGCCAAGGGGAACGCTAGTCGGACGACACCTGAAACTTGGGGAGATTCGCGACTCCAATCAATATTTGATGCGCCTTACACAAACACGATCACCACTTGGTACCCATATACTACCTCGGAAATCACCATGAAACCACCCAAAACCACTTCCTCCCAAACTCAAAATGGCAGCTGGGTCGTGCCTGTCGCTGTTGGCGTCACGATTCCTATTGTAGGGGCAGCTTGCATGGTAATAATATGGCTCGTACTCATAAAGAAGCGTCATCTACAGCATGGCCTATGTGACTGTAGCCCTGGCAAACGTCACTGGCTACATATGCTCTGTCTCAAGTCTGATCGCTCTCTTCCAAATGAAGCTGATGGAGTCCCAGTCGAGCTAAGGCACCCGGCACCCTCCTTCAGAGTGGTGGGCAGTGGAATCAATGAGATGCCGGCCCATGAGCCATCAAGAATGTCGAAGGCATCCTCTATTGGTGAGACCCCGATAAGTATGTATTTTCCAGAGCTAGAGACTCCAGTGATCTCGAGGCGATGGTTGGAAACGGAATCATGACGATATATGTAAACTTAAGAACGTGCAGAGTATTGATGTGTGAGAACCCATGGACCGATCGATGGGAAGCAGAACGTTGCGATTGTTGATACGAAATGAGCGGGAAATGACGACACTCTATTCTTATTTTTATCGGAAGCTTGTAAGGTTTACGTCAGTTAAATCAATATATCTTCGAAACGAGTGAATAGTAACGCTGAAGAGAAAAGTTTCTACCAAGTGGGGGTCTCCCCAGTCTCCAATAAGTATCTTGAATGGCTGGGTGGCTGTGTGGCTGTGTAACTCAAGTTATTGTACAGTGTTTCCGGAAATCAGTGTCACAACTTCGATTGTTTGTCGAACCATAATGCCAAGAGACATTAAGCTAGTTACTTTTAGAATAGTCTAAAAACACCCTGGTTTCTAGGCTTTCCGTTAAATACCAGACATGTGTTTATTACCTATCATAGCTAATTCTAGACCCATTATTTCTTTATGGTAGTTAAGTCTCGTAACTCCTTTTGCACTGGAGTGGCGAATGACATAACCTTCATGAAATTGTATATAAGTGATGGCTTTATACCATGCCCGCCCCGTTAATCAAAGCACATTCAAAGAGCTATCCATACCTTTTAACTTGCAGTCTCATGGATCTCAAAAGGGTTGATCTCCAGTGAGAGTGTCGATTGGTCTTTAAGTGCTACTTGATGTGCGTGTTTAGTTTCGGATTCTAAACCTCGCCATTGGGAGGGACGTACGCACACGTCGTTCTCGAAGGAGAAGGACCGGGGGTTCAACTAGGCCTAACGAGCTTTGGCCCACCAGCAGGAGTTGGCTGTCTGCGACCCGCCTGGAAACGGATTGGGTCGTACTAGAGCCCGGCTTGCTTTCGCGATAATTATTTAGTCATGGACGCTAAAATGTTACATAACAGGAAACAGTATATCTATAAAATCTGAGCAGTCGGAGAAGGACGATATGGAGCTATCAAAGCTCAGCCCTAGCTTTGTTATCGGTTGCTGACGCCATCGGTTTTCTATCGGTTGAAATCCTGGTGGTGCAGCTGCTGGGCTCCGAAATATGGATATGTCTAGGCAGCACGCCTCTAACAACTGATCTTGAAAATCTCCAATTAATGCCCTCACCAAACGGCCCCTTATCTTTGGAGAGAAACGGGGCTAGATTTAGACTGATAGTCATAATTAGACCGGTCCCCGAAATGTGGATGGCCCCCAATGACTTATCTTGCACGTAGCTATAATGTCGCCGCTTAGCCGCGATATCTCTCCAAGCCAAGAATGTGATTAACGATGACAGGTGTGCTGCTGCTGCAAGGCCGCTCCGGCAGGAGAGGCAGCCTCAGAGGAACGGCATGCTCCTGTTACTACTAAGTGGCTCATAGCAGAACACTTTCAGGGCTCCGGAGGAGAGCTGAAATGCGTTCTTCGAGCTGCAGTGATTCATGTGGCACAGGCGCCGAACAACCTATCGTGGATCCATTCAAGCCTAAACCCAAATCGATTGCCAAAAGTCAAGTAAACCGATATCGGGTCGTCATCGAACGACGTATCGATGAGCTCACTGAAAAGTTTCGCGGTCTCTACATTAAACGACAAAGGTTCGTTTAGAACTATGTGTCGTAGTCACATGCCTACGTTTCTTGATAGTTCTTCTCCCATTGTTCTAGATAGTTCTTCTCCCATTGTTCTAGATAGTCTTTTCTTTCTCTCCTGAACCAACCAACCGATACAACAACACCATTATCATTACACCTTTTGCTTGTTTAGTAGCGATAACTTTTCAGCTTCTGCTGAAGAAGTTTGAACCATGCTAATGTACAATCTCTGGACTTTGCAAACGTGACTGCAATGACTACATGCTGTTCGTTTTTTCCCCATGGGTATGCATTATTGTCACAGGTTTCATGTTGGTTTTTATATTGTTTGTCCCTCGGTATTGCGGTACAGGGTCCGCTGTAAACAGATGTCGCATGGGTATGCTAATTCAAACTGAGACTACGCCTTGGGTAGAATAAAGAGCGCGGTGGCGCGGGCGGCGAGAAGCAACCTATCCGAGCACTTTTCGGGTATCTTGATAGCCCCCTCCATCCATGTCTTGCGCCCTTCGATTTTCACTGGCCAAACCCGTAGTACTAGTTTTATATCCGGTTGGATCGGATGCATGAATTCCATTGTCAGATTTGCGGTCACGGCGGGCTTGCAACAGTCTGCAAACAGCTGGTCCATAAGAAAGGCCTGGTATCCACCGTGGATTTTGCCGGGGTAGTAACAAATCCTTTGCCGAGGCTCGAAAAGCAATATGGCCCTCGCCTCTTGGCCTATAACGTTCTTTTGGATATCTGGTATGTATCTACGAAGAAGTTCCTGGCATAGACTATTCAAACTTGGAACCTTCTCGGAGCCCATGGCCAAGGGCGGGGTGTGAAGGCATGGCTGGAGATGTCAGCTCGATGGATCGGGCTCTCGATATAGTGAAAACATACTCTAGGGTCTGGTGAATGGAGCATGACTTCAGTTGCTTTGGACTCCCTAGTATACGCTTTGCTGAGGCGAAGCCAGCTGTGGCCAGTTCGTATGGCATAACTGAAAATACGGATAATAAGCAGAGAAAAGTTCTGTTTTTGCGCGATCTTCATGGCGGACCCCGGGAAATGATGTGTGAGCAACAGAAAATAAAAGCTTTTCGAGAGTAACAGGGTATGAATAACTATTTTAAATAATACAACGAACCTCTATGCAAAGCCCGCCCACAACCCCTCAAGCGAAGGCTGATCGGACAGATCATGACGTTTAGTGTCATGACGGAAGACATGTCAAACTCCTGCCAGTTGCGGGTAGGGTAGCGCGTTCTTTGTGGAAGCAACAACTGTGAATAATTTTCCATGCAATTTGCATCTTCGCTTTAACATCAAAGCTTTTGTAAGAATACAGTTTCTCTTTCTCGCGGCGAGACTCTCCTTGGCGTCAAGAAGGGTCATTATTGAGGGTCCAAGTTACGCTTGTCTGATGTGCCAGATCAGAGCTCTTGCGTTAAAATGACCTAAATTAAACACAATATTGCGGTAAAAGAGCAAAGGTCTGATACGAGGAACTATACACGTGAGTGGCCAGAAAAGCCTTAAGTCCCACCCACCGATATAGTTGCCTTGGAATGTTGCCTGCTTAGTTCGTTGATTGAAGGATTTGGAGTGGGATATGAAATGCGGGCAGACAAAGAAACACAGGTTGGACCCCCTATAACCTATAGTTTGTCGCAATTGTTTCTTTTTCTTATACGCCAATTTTGGGATATATAGGTGATATAGCTCTCAAAAATACATAACTTATAGATGAATTTATTTATCCGCTGTCGAGAACCCAGTGCGAAGATTTCTTTATAAACTCATAGATTGCGTACGTCACTCGATGCGAGGTGATACCAACGAACACGAGCCAGAGACAAAGCAATGTAGGCCTGTACCTATATGAATCTATGATACCCTTGCTACAGGGACAACACCTACATCCGCCCATTTACTCATTACTGGTCCATGATCCTCCTCTCATGCGTTTTTGAATAGAAGCACAAGTGTCTGCTGTATCCGTGGAAGTTGACGCACTTGCCGAGCTTGTTATGGTATCTGTGGCGGATTTTGGCACTGAAATGGAAGTTTGACTGAAACTGCTTGACTCTGGGTCACGGCTAGAGCTTGTCGAGTCACTCAAAGTTGGCATGGACATCTCAGCCGACATGGAGATGAAGCTCGAAGAGGAGCTTGCGGCTGCTGACCACGTGGTTTTCGAGCTCTTCGTAGCTGCTTGTCCCCGACATAACAATTTCCCATCGTCATTTACGCCACAAATATCATCTGATGAGGGTTAAACACGCTATACAAAGCAAAACTGAATGGCTCTTCACTTACCCAGGTCGATGAGACTGACTGCCGTGCCGCCCCAGTCTGCACCAAGTACGGTTCCCAACAGACCAAAATCGGTGCAGCTTCTATTTGCGGCCCCACTGTAAGAAAGTCCTGTTAGCCTCCTATCTTTCGTTATGCTGGACAGATATTCAGGCCGTAAATACTTAGGCCAAGGATAGAGTTCGTTTCTATCTGAATTGACAAGGAATGAACCGACTTCAGCCTTACACGAAACTGATTCAGCTGACTTTGTTTGGCATTCACATGCCAGACCAGGCCTAGACGTCTCGTCGCTAATATTCACGACAGTGCATTTCTTGGTGAATTTTGAATAGTTAGATCCAGCAAACACTGTGCGGATTGCACAGAAAAAGAACAAGATTCGTGCGGTATACATCATGAACGATATTCTCAGTAGTGGTGTGAGGGTCGACCACACCGCCTCATGCTGGACACACTCATGATCACCTAGCTCTGTAAAAGACGTCCGCGACTTGATGAATATGTCGCACACTTTGCAAATTTCCTAGAGTTTGTATCGATCTCACTCCTGCTAAGGTGAGGAAGTTTCGCAAGTGTCTCTTTGAACACATCTACACCAAAGTCGCCAGAGTTGCGGAGGTGTTTGATTTAATGTGGAAGTACGATGGGTAATCTGTTGCGCTTTACGTGAGACCACGCTTCTTTTCTCATAATACTTGTCGAAATAGTCAGGAACACAGTCTTCTTGATCAGAAGAGAGAATTCGCCCACTAAAACCATTCCCGAATACGGTCATACTTTCACCAGCGGTTTGACCAATTGTGGATTTGCCGACATAAAAGGCCGCTATATCCCATAAGGTGGTGTGTTTGACCTGCCCTGAAACCTCGCTTGTAGAAGAGCTAGCTCGGTTATGGCTTAGACAAAGGTATAACTTGTTCTTGCCCAGTACCTCCAGGTAGCTGGGGTTGGACGAAAATGCAATATGTTTGTCCCAAGAATAAACAGACAGCTGGACAATTACGTAACCCCAGCGTACGAGCAATAAGCAAAAGAGAACTTATCCAGCAATATATAAAGATACTGTACGACCCATCTGTGTACTTATCTTTATGGTTTCTTGCCAACGGCCTGAGGTAATCAAGCTGGGCTTGCCACCGTGGTTTTCATCGTCTATCCTAAAGTAAGTTTACAATGGGAGTAAAAAGAAAAATCCGAATGCATTATGCTAAAAGGCAGTTTCTAAGAATCAAATGCAAGAGAGATGGAGGAAGGGGTTTACCAAAGATCCCCGACAGAGCTCACACTCGATACCAAGAAACTATACCACAAAGCCAAGGCTGCTTTGCGTGTCTCTTTGAGAGTGCTAGCCCTGATATTCCTAGTATTTGGCTCTGTGTTAACTGCACTCATGGGTGGGGGCCACCTTCCTCTTTCTGGCAGCTGGACAGAGAGAAAGATCGGCTGATGAAGAGAAGGAATCTTCCTTACTGTAATTTATCCCACATCCAGGTGGACATCACAGTGTTTCCGGAAATCGGTGTCACCACCTACACTGTTCGATTCTTTTTGGAACCCTAATGCCAAGCCCTTCTAGATTATATAAGGAATAGCCCTGGAATCAATAGTCCTGTGTACATTGTCCATACAATTACTTACTCTAACAATTATATGATGTCATGTTTCGTAACTGTATAGGCGATACATGGTACCAGAATTTTCATGGAAATGCAAATAAGTTAAACACAAGAGCTAGAGAGGGCCTTTAGACGAGCTGCCACTTCCCTGTGCTACTCCCCGGGGCGCTCTCTTGGAGGTTACCTTCTTGTAGGTCTGGAATAGCAGCCGTAGCATCTTCTGATAAATTGTATTCTTCCGGTAGGTCTTAGAGGGGGATGCTCCGGTACTAGACCCCGTTCGGGCATTGCGGTACGCCTGTTGGGTTTAGTGTTTCTGTTGACTGCGATGGTTCTCCTGGCTGTGCTAGTTGTGACACAGCAGGTTGAGGGCCGGGGTCATTGACACCGTTGATCTCATCCATAATAACGATATTATGGGCGAACATCTCATCACCACGCTCTTCCAAGAGACGCTTTTGACTTTTCAAATGAAGAAATTTAGCCATCACCGCCTCGAATTGCACTTCCGCTTTGAGAAGATCGGCCTCTAGTTTAGCCGTAGCCGTCTCTTGCTGCCTCTATGGAATATTAGTGAAACGAGCCCGTGTCCGTTAGACGATACATACCAATAAAGTTATAGCCACCCTTAGGGAGAAATGCTTCTCTAAACACTGCCTCTCACATTTCCGGTTTGAACAAATACATTTTTATTGACTGATACCAACCTGAGCCGCCCTTTCTACCAATTAAATGATCGATCGACCTCAATAGAGGAGACATAAGGATGGCAAGAGTCGTAGTAGGACAGCTATCTAAAGGCCGGACGCACACTGTGAAGGGGCCAGTTGGCAGACGAAACAACATTCGTGATCGAAACCTTTACACAGTAGTTACTTTAGCCAATTTAATGAATGCTGAGTAAGCCTCTCAAAAGTTACCCGGACGACTCAGGTCCACGACTACCTCTCTTCAATTTATCCTTCATCTTCTCCCCAACCTCAAACCTCTCGCAAAGAACAGCGCCAATACTGTATACCAGTGGCAACACACCAGCGGTTATAAGGGCACCTGTCTGGTCTAAGTCTTTGAACTTAGCTTCAGTAGTAGGGATCATCCAAGCCATGTGAGCGATCATCATCGCAAAGGTCAGAATGATATCAGTCAGAGCTCGCACCATCTGCCACATCATAGTACAGTGGAGTAAGAAGTTAAGCACAGGGTCTGCGAGTATCGTGCCGAGTGGAGGAATGTTTGAAACCCCCAAGGCTGTCCAATCAATTGGCGGCCCAGTAATGAAGATCGCCCGTACCTTATCTGTAAGCTTGATGAACAGATACAGAGAGGTGGGTTGAAGTTCTTTCATGGTTGTGAGCCAACTTATCAACATCATGGAAACCAACGTCTGTGGACGATGTGGTCTCTCAGGTTCGGCAATGTCAGGAGGCCGTAAGCGATTCGACCAATATTCTGGCTGGAGCGACGATCGGGCTTCCAAGTCTCTCCCATGAGACATATCGTTAAGTTCAATATCAGACTGTGTCTCTGCTATGGCTCTGTCACTCATACTGGTACCAGGCGTGCTAATTACGTGTCCTGTGTCTATGAGACTCAGTTTGCTCTCGGAGCTGTCTTTGCAAAGTTGCCAATTTTCCCTGCTTGCGCAACAGTGCTATTTTCCAGGGAACGCGGATCAAATTGACGAAGAGGTCGATACGAATCATGCCCGCTTTGCACAATATCTCAGCCATGAGGTCCATATGGATGAATAATCCAATGGCCCAGAAGGGAGGCCCCTCTTGGCCATTATTTTGTTTTCGAAATGCTCAAGCAAAACCCGGGTACTTCGCGGCTAATTTGCTCTGTGGCTTGTCGAAAACTCGATGATAGGGCATCATGACCCAGCCATCGATGTACGATTGCCACTCGAATTGACAATAACCCAAGTCGAAGACTCTGTTGATAATCAGAAACAAGAGCACACGGAAACCACTGATGTATACGACCAAGCCGGGATTTTTGTGTTTCAATTTTCTTGTGCTGAAAGCACAAGCGAGCAGCAAGAAAAATCCGAAGACTATGCCTTCGCGGAGAACCACTAAAGACGCATCGATCGGAGCAACGTCGTCGCCTTGAACGGCACCATTGTTGAAGAAATGATGCATGTGCAAGAGCAAGTCGATAGCCGCGATGAACGGGTACGCAAAGGAGCCCACGAGGTTGATGCTAAGCCCACATATGTTGGAACCTTTGTCAGCAGTGTCTTGCTCGACAGTGAAGAGCTTGTCAACAATGGTTCATGCCACAAGCATGCACCAAGCTGTCCAGCAGCCGTTTCCGTAGAAAGCGGAGACGAGAGAGACACCATAGATTTGACGGGCGCTCGCTTCATCTATAGCCCCTTCCATCACGTGCTTTGACGCTCAAGTATAGACTTAGCTAGATTCGGGGCCAATTCCCGTTGCATTAATAGTGTGATGGTCAGTTGATTATCAAAAAAGATATGTTATAGGAATGTTAGACGTAGGGCACGACGTGGGGGCAACGAAGTAGCAGCTGTCTATGACAGGTAATAAACACAGGCTCATCATATAATCGGGTCGTCGAACCCAGCCACCTGGCGGTGTCAGGGTTCCCGGGCCTAATTACAACCCGGGCCTAATTACAAATTCTTCAATTCCAACCATGAATTCATTGAATTCAAATAGCTTCGCCTTCTAAATCAATGTAATAAAGGTCATCTATCCATTCCCGGGCCATTTCTGCACCTGCTTCGACCTGAATTTCTCCTGAATTTTCAATGTCGCCGTCCTCAATTGCTTTCAAAATAGCTGCTTCCCGCCATGCTTTTTTGGACCGGTTGAACATTTGCAGCCTTTCTCGGTCGGCGCGGTCGGATATATGCTTTTTACAGTCCTTTACTAAACGAGGGCCTAGTTCAGGAAGCCTACGCTTTGTTTTAGCAGAATTGGCCTGCTTCTTCCGCCGGAGAATACGCACATTGTCCTCCGCGAATTGAGCACCGACCTCGGCAAGAGCGAGTCCACCTGCTAGAATCCGAGCAAGGCTATCCCGCACCTTCGGAGATATTGTAGCATCGTTTTGTATATGCTTCACGACCTTAGTGCTCGCTTTTCGGAGATTTTGAACGGTCGTAGGTGGTGAATTTGGTAGTGAACTTGATAGTGGGGGTGGTGTAGTTCCAGACATAATATCATGAACTATAAACCCTGGCATGTCGGGGAGATCGTTGTCCACTAAGTTTAATTTTTCAAGGCCTTTGTTTGAATCAACTGGCCAAATCCCAGTTTCTCGAAACCCGTGTCGAATTGTCCGCTCAGTTAATGATCGTGTGCGCACATCATGAATACCCGCGAAGAAATTGGCTTTGTGTTTCGCATCACCACCCCAAAAAGTAGTCTCGTTGTTGTATTGTTTATAGTAATGCTTCAAGACTGAGAACGGTGTATCATCGAGAGGTTGGCAACCATGTGTTGTATGTGGAATAAAGCAGTAAGGAATAATGCGTTTTGTCCAACAAAATTCAATGAAATCATAGGTCAAATGTGAACCATGATTATCCATTAAAAGAAGACGATATTCCCCCTTTTTAATACAGTAGATTTCGAAAACGGATTCCCCTGTGGACACTGGCGCATTGTTTCTCGGCCTGTACCCGAAAGTACCCTAATCTGTATTCGGCTAAAGCGAAACTAATTATGTCCTAAGAATAGAATGGCTATAAATTCAGAACCGTTTCATTACATATTATATTGTATATTACATGAAACAGCTATACACTGCCCCTCTATGCCTAACATTCCATCGTTTTGCAGCACCACCTTTTCAGTGGAATCATATGCACAATATGGCACCGAATCTACCTATGTCAACGCTATGTTTTATTCGTGATATGATACAAAGTGATTCACTAACAACGTCTCAAATGGCTGACGCAGCTGAGTGTAGCGAAAAGACTATCAAAAATACTCGCAGAAACCTGCGACTGTTTGGACAAGTTCATGCCCCCTCAACTCGTATCGGTCGGAGACGAAGCATAACACCACACATGTTAGAAGCGCTCTGTGACCATCTGCTGGAAAAACCAGGCTTGTACCTCGAAGAGATGGTTATCTTTCTATGGGATGAATTCCAGATGCTAGCGTCAACCTCTAGCATTAGGAGGGCTCTCGTATCCAAAGGGTGGTCTAAAAAGACTGCTCGGCAGAGTGCGAAAGAGCAGAACGCCGAGCTACGAGAAATATATCTTCATAACCTCTCTGGTTTTGAGTCGTACCATCTTGTTTATGTTGATGAATCTGGATGCGATAAGCGCGTTGGGTTCCGACGAACAGGTTGGTCACCACTCGGTGTAGCACCTCGGCAAGTGTCTCAGTTCCACCGTGACGAGCGCTATCAAATTTTGCCTGCGTATGCCCAAGATGGTATTTTGATGAGTCGAGTCTTTCGCGGCTCGACGGATGCCGCTGTGTTCGAAGACTTCGTTGATGAGCTCCTTCGTCATTGCGGGAGATGGCCAGAGCCGAAGTCTGTTCTGGTCATGGATAATGCATCGTTTCACCACTCCGAGCGGATTTCGCAGATGTGTGCTAATGCGGGAGTTAAACTGGTGTATTTGCCTCCGTACTCGCCAGACCTAAACCCGATTGAAGAGTTTTTTGCTGAACTCAAAGGCTTTATACGACGCAATTGGTGCTACTACGCAGAAGATCCAGACCGAGAATTCGCCTCCTTTCTCGAACGGTGTATCAATCAGGTTGGGGCAAAGAAAAACAGTGCTAGGGGCCATTTTCGGCACGCAGGGCTTAGTGTTGAGAATTTAGATGATTGAAATCCTCCTTCGGAGGACACCATACAGTAACATGAAGCGATCGATCCTACATTCAAACCCTTCTCATTATCATAAACTGCCTTTGGCCGCCCGTGCGGACCAGTACGGTGCCACATAGACCAACAACGTAAGCCACGTGACCCGTAATGAGCGTTTTGGATCTCAGAAGTCCTCTGTGGTTCCATTACGTAGCGATTTCTTCACTAAGCAGCCTCTGTGGCAAAAGCTAGCTATTCAGATGAATTAGCGACTCTATTAGGTACTACTAGAATTGTTATGGGATATTCCGCAAGCCGGATAGAGCCGTATAAAGTATCCCCTTCTCCCAGGCCCTTCTTTTATAAAGGATTAGAAAATAGAGGAAAGAGAAAAAAACAAGAATGATTGAGTGTTAGATACAAAATCCAATAAAGGAAACCCGCCCTGATGCATGTCCTAGGGCAAGTACATTACCGTTTATCTTGAAACGAGTAGGTCGAGACTCGATAGGAAGCCACAGAACCCTTTTACCATTCAATGCTATCCACTGGCCGTGCTCAATAGAGATGCTTGGAGCCGCGTGAGATGGATGGGGCGTAGAGGAGAAGGCCACTGAATCAACCGAATCTGAATGGCCTTCGAGGGTCTGGATGAGCGCGCCCGTCGCTGGGTCCCAGAGCCGCACTGTCTTATCCCTAGAGCCGGACGCTAGCAGGCAGCCGTCGGGCGAGAAGGCCACTGAATCAACCCACCCTGAATGGCCTTCGAGGGTCTGGGTGAGCGCGCCCGTCGCTGGGTCCCAGAGCCGCACTGTCTTATCCGCAGAGCCGGACGCTAGCAGGCGGCCGTCGGGCGAGAAGGCCACTGATCCAACCCCACCTGAATGGCCTTCGAGGGTCTGGGTGAGCGCGCCCGTCGCTGGGTCCCAGAGCCGCACTGTCTTATCCCAAGAGCCGGACGCTAGCAGGCGACCGTCGGGCGAGAAGGCCACTGATCCAACCCCACCTGAATGGCCTTCGAGGGTCTGAGTGAGCGCGCCCGTCGCTGGGTCCCAGAGCCGCACTGTCTTATCCCCAGAGCCGGACGCTAGCAGGCAGCCGTCGGGCGAGAAGGCCACTGATCGAACCCCACCTGAATGGCCTTCGAGGGTCTGAGTGAGCGCGCCCGTCGCTGGGTCCCAGAGCCGCACTGTCTCATCCCAAGAGCCGGACGCTAATAGGCGGCCGTCGGGCGAGAAGGCCACTGATTCAACCCAACGTGACTATGTTGGTTGCCGTAGGAGTCGAATGCTGCTTGTTTTGCAATCTGTAATCTGCTAAGGTCCATCTTTTTGTGTATCGAGTTGGTCAATCTCCTGAGTCAGCGTCAGAGTTGGCCTTTGATATCAATAATCAAGAGATCGGATTTCGGTCCGGAGCCTACGTTTGATCAACCTGCAAGGACAAAGCAAATGTTGTTTTGTACGACTCGAGCTCCATGATAGCAAAATCTACCTCCGACCGTGCCAGTGGCCATTTTAAGGCTCGAAGGCCCCATTTCCTCATCTGCTTTTGCGTCGTTTCCGGATTGATTCTCTCTTTCAAATTTGTAAGTGCTGAGGAGCATTTGGCGATATTGTCGACCAGGTCTTGCGTAGCAGTAAGTTTGTTGCCATCAGATCCACGGATCAGCTCATCGAGCGAGTGAAGGACTTGTGAAAGGGCGGCGACCTTCTCTTGGAAACGCTGAATATCGTGCTTCGCGCTCTTGACGTTATTGAGATATTTTCCACATATTTGTAAGATAACTCCGGTTAACTGGATAACTGCGATAACACTTGCTGCACCCGAAAGTGGATCCATGGTTAACAAGCCTTCCACGGTATTAATGATATCAAATGTACAAAGTAAGATGTCGCGAAGGATGATAGACAAAAATGGAGCTTACGCCCCTCAAGGAGGGGTAGGCATCAAAGTGAGGCTAAGAGTAAAAGTGGACCCTGATTGGCGCTTGTCCGATCGTTTAAGCCACGCAACTACCACAAGGGGTCGTTCGTTTCTGTCCAAGTGGAAACTCTTGCAACCATTGGCTGCGCCCGGCACAACTGGGTTCGAAGTGGCATCAATAGAATGTTACGAATAAGGGACACTTGGGAGAGTGGGAAGATCGGTAGGGGCCTGTGAGTGTGTATTGGGATTGATGATTTGCAGAGACCCGCTATCAGCTTCCATGGAATTCCGTTGAATTCTCGTATTCATTGTGTAATGTACGAGCAATATATAATACCATGCTCAGGCATTTTACGTATCCATCAATTTAATGCGGCCCGCTCAATGATTGATCTGCGCCAATGCAGCCGATTTCGAGAACGACTATACCGCTCAGGGTTCAGATGTAAAACAGACCAGGTCAGAAGGGAGGCCTAGATGCATGGTGGGGAATTATTGCTGATCGAGGTATTCAGCCATCGACAGCAGCCGCCGATGGTAGAAACAACCACAACAATGAGCCCACACAACATGAACGACCCGAGATTGTCATATCCAATCAATAAATCAGCAACAAATATTGCTGGTGGAATACTACGGTACTACATCCTCAATACTCCAA